GCCAGAATGGGGGGGGGGGGCTTTTGAGAAAACCGGGAAAGAATGGATATCACAAATTTTTACTGATTCTGAGCTAGATAAAATTCTCCTGAAAAATAATTTTTATGGAATAAATTAAAATTCCAATGTATACAGAAAACCTAATTATCATAATATTAACCTTTTAGGATTTAAAGTTCTCTTCTCATAGTCTCCTACAGCTGAACCTAACACTTTAATTTCAAGAGCTCTTTTTTAAATCCTCAACCCAAGAGTCACCAGTGTCTTTTTTTTTTTTTTTTTTAAGATTTCAGAGAGAGGAAGGGAGAAGGGGAGAGAGAAACATAGGCTGCTTCCTGCGCACCCCCGATGGGTGATCGAGCCCACAGCCCGGGCATATGTGCCCTGACCGGGAATCGAGCTGCAATCTCGTGGATCCTAAGTCGATGCTCAACCACTGAGCCATGCTGGCCGGGCACCAGTGTCTTCTTGCCCCCTTCCAGGGATGGGAAGCTCACTGCCTCACACAGTGCTCTCCATAAATGGGCCCTGTCTCCCATGCTCACCCCGTCCAGCTCCACCACCTTTTACCTGTCCTTGTCCCAGTCATCTGTGGACCTCTGGGTCACTCCCATACACCCATCAGTTTCTCCAGCAATGTGGAGCAGCTTGATTTCCACTTGCACTTAGAGGAGATCCTTGGAACCTTGTCATTCTCTGGACGTGGCTTCATTTTTGAAATCTTAGATGCCAACATCCTCTCTCTCATCACGGAGATTCCCTCCTCCTCACTTCCATTGGATCTGCGCTTCCATCGACCCCCCCTCTCCAAGCCCCATTGTCTCAATCAGATCTCCTTAGTCTCTACTTTGTCCCCTAACCCTTAACCCTGGCATCTGCAAAACTCTAATCAGCTCTCTGAATATTCATCTCACCAGTTGCCCCTACACCTCCCTCCCCAAATTAAACAATTCCAGCTTCCTCAATGGTCTCTTCTCTCTCTTGCATCATCATTTCTCCCCTCTCTGTACTGGATCATTTCTATCCACACATATACATGCTGTTACATACATCCCAGCTTGGGAGAGGGGGAGACCTCTCTTAAACCCACATGCCCCCTGCAGCTATTGCCTCATCTCCTCCATCCATTTACAAAAGACAAAAAAAAAAAATCTTGAAGAAATTTCTACTTACTCTCTCCAATTTTATCTCCTCCACTGTCTCTTGAACCCACTCCACTGAAACTGCCCTTCTCAAGGTTACCACTGACCTCACAGCATTAATTCCAGGAGACATTTTTCAGAAGTCCTTCCTTTATGTGCTGCAGTGAATCAATCCTGATCTGAGCCAGGCTTCCAGCAGACACCTCCCTGAGCTCCCTCGTCTCTCTAGCCTCTCCCTCTCGGCCTGCTTTGCTGGGTCCTGCTCATCTCCCAACCTCCAGGTACTGAGAGTACATTATGGCTTAGTTTTTGAACCCCTTCTCTCATCTATCTGTACTCACCCCCTAGGTGATCTCATCCTAAGGTCTCCTGACGAATTACGACCTCAATGTTGAGGGAGCACATACCTCTCCCTTAAACTCCAGGCCCCTGTGTCTGCCTGCCAGCCTACCACCTCTCATCGGATGACTAAAAAGAATCTCGGCTTAACATACCTCAAACGGAGCTCCTGATAGTCCCTCCTAAATCTGCCTCTTTTGCAGCTCCCCTCATTTCTGTTATTGGCAACTTCCGTTTTCCGACTCTACAGACCAAAACCCTTGGAGTTGCCGTCCTTAAGCCCTCTCCTTTTCTCACCCCCGCTCCCAGTCTGCCGGCAAGCCCTGCTGCTCTGCTTCCAGTGTCACATCCCTCCCCACTTCTCACCACCCCCCTTGCTACCACTCTGCTGGGCATTCTGATCTCTTTCGTTTTTATTCACTTCCCTTGTGTCCCTCTGTCTCCTCTCTACGGAACAGCCAGCATGATCCTGTGAAAACATGTCATCTGTCCTCTGCTCAGAATTCTGTGGCTATTTATCTCTCTCAAAAAAAGTCCTTGCACCGGGCCGGGCCTGGCTCAGTGGTTGAGCATGACCTAGGATCCAGGAGATCGGGACTCAGTTCCCCGTCAGGGCACATGCCCGGGTTGGGGGCTTGATCCCCAGCAGGGGGCGTGCAGGAGGCAGCCGATCAGTGCCTCTCATCATTGATGTTTCCGTCTCTCTCCCCCCTCCCTTCCTCTCTCTGAAATCAATAAAGACATAAAAAAAAATAAAAAATAAAAGTGCTTGCCATGACCGGCAGACTGCCCTCTCCCTGGCATCTGCCGTGGCTCTGACTGCGTGGGCTGCTGCCTCCTGATCCGTGTGCCTCCTCCCACGTCCATCCTTGCGCGGCCCCCTGCCCTGGCCACTCTTCCTCCAGCTCTCCACTTGTCACTGCCAGATTCTTTAGCACGTTACTCAAAAGTCTCTTTGTCTGTGAGGCCTTCCCTAACCATTTAAAACTTAATCACCCCAACACTTTATCTCTCCTTCCCAACTTAAATTTTTTCTCTCCTTAGCTAGCAGTTTTGTATTAGCATACTATATATTTAATTTATCTTGTTTATTGTCTCGCTTCCTCACTAGACTTTAAGTTCCACAAGGGCAGTTTTTTTCTTCTATTGTTTTATCTCCAACATTTAGAAAAGTGCCTGGCATGGAGTAGGTGCTCAATAATTATTTGTTGGCTAAATGAATGGTTTCCAAACATGTCAACATTAGCATATGGACTTTCTCCATCCAGGGAACATTTCTCTAGAGAACTCAGCCAGTGCAGCTGGAGTGAATCATCAGGATCGGGATCAGGATCAGGATCAGGATCAGAACCAGAACTGGGGTGAGCGTGGCTGGCATGGCTGCTCCAGGACCGAAAAGAGGGCCCACGTAGTTGGGAGACAGCTTCTTAAAGTCAAAAGATAGTCTTCAGTGTGAGTTTCAAAGTCCTTCATAATCTGGCCCCCAAATGCCTTTCTGGACTTACCTACTACTCTGAAAGAACTTTCCACTCAAAGCGATCAGCTCATTATTTTTGAACCCACTTTGCAAGGTCCCCATCTTTGGGCCTCTTAATAAGTTTTTTCCTTGCCCAATCCTGACTCAAATCTCACATCTCTCCTGAACCCCACAGAGGGTCTGGCGCACACAATGCTGTTTTCTCTCTGCCCTTCACTTACTCTACCTTGGCTTTTCTCTGCAAATTTCCAAGCCTCTTCTGACTCAACTGTGTAACAAATTTTGAATAATTTATTTATCTCGAACTTTACTAAATCTTCCTTCACTGATTGAGAGTTCATGCTCAATTCTTCCTAGATGTCTACAGTGGAACTTTGCAGTGACTCTTTTTATATCCTAGTTTTGGAAATAACAGTTTTGTTAAAGAATTATAAAAATGCGGCACTTGTGATAACTCTTTACTTATAATTACCTACAACAAAACTTTGAAGGATAATTTCAGTCTGGGGAGAGGGAAGTAAGAGTATTTAGGAATTAGACCAGTTTCAAGTTGCTTTTTACTATTGGGACAAAAATGAGGGTAAGGAATGGTTTTAAGTGGGTTAAGTTGTTTGCTGCTCTTCTCAAAGTCAGAATGCCGAGGAACTTCAGAGCTCATCTCATTTAACCCATGCATTTGGAAAGCGAGGCTGAGGAAAGTGACATAATTATTCAAGAGCACGTCTGTGTATTCTCCACAAAAGATTATAGCTGATCACATCTGTCTTCTTGAATTTTTGTTTACTTGGCCTCTAAAACTGCACACACCTGATTTTCCTCTTATCTTAGTTTCCTTAGCAGGATATCGGTCATCTTCCCATCTTTACAGGTGGGCTGCCCTCAGGGCCTAGTCCTTGCTGCTCAGTCTATGCTTACAATTCAGGTGGTCTCACCCATTTACCTAGTATTAATACCATTTGCACACTGACAACTCCCAGCTTATAGCTACTATTCCGATCCTTCCACTGAGCTATCGGGCCTCGCATTTGGTGCCATCATTTAATTATCATAATTTTAACACATTCAACCTGAATCCTTGCTTTTTTCCCCATTTCCCTGGAGAATTCATGCTCCTTCCTTTTCCACTTGAATAAATAAGATCACTCTTCACCAGTTGTTTAGGTGACAGAGAATCTCTCCTTAAACCAAGCCTTAGGCTCTTCTGAACTCAGTTCCCAGCAAGGCCTTGACCTTGGGGTTTCCGTGTCCATTTACACCATCCAGTCTTAGCCAGAATCCCCCACCCTCAATATCTGCTCACTTTTGATACCTGACTGGGCTCTTCACCCTCCACCATCCCTCTGGTGATCCATCCCTCTGGTCATCCTTGCCGGCCT